TATATTACATTCACTTTTAATGAGATCCTGTTGTTGCAAAATGATTCTATGTAATGAATCCCAGGAAATCAATGAAAAGTTTAATTACAGTTGTGGCAGTGCTGTATGAGAACATTGGTTAGGTCAATTTTACTTGTACAATTTATCAATCCTTTGCCTTTCTCTTTCTTTAAATTAATTGCTTTGATAAAGTAAGTATAAATACATTCTTTGTTAGCTTTTGATCTTTTTTAGAAATGTGTTACAAATTTCCTCTGCTATAATAATAGCCCCTATCATTTTTAATGTATACTACCATTCACAATTTGTACATTTTAAAATTAGACAGTATTTCTAGTTTGTAAATTTAGTCATTATTATGTCTTATTAAAGCGAAGTCCTTTTCCTGTTGTCATTTTTTTGCTAACCACTTTCTGTCTCTTTTCAACTAATTGGTTGACCCCATTAGTCAAAAATTCGGTGTGCTTTCTCTATTGTTCATCATTCATTAGACTCTAAGATGGATGAAAAGAAAAACAAGATACTTTCTCCTCTGAGTTACCAGTTTTGCTTTCATGTAACTACATGCCCTTTTTGATTTTAAACAGTGAATTTTCCTTTTGCAGCATTTTTATTTTGACAGTCTGATGATTATGAAACTATCTTGTCCACTGTGGTAGTAATTGATTTTTCTTGTTTATAAAGCACAATACAAAATGTTGATCTGGATATTCAGAGATATCTAAAGTAGTTCTTTATTTTGGTGACTCTAGCTGTTGCTAATTATATATTGAGAAAGGATCTTCCATGCTCTTTTAACCACCAAAGTTGTTTTTAAGCAGTCTACTTTTGATTTAAGGTTCAAGGCCTTAAAATAGGAATTATATCAACTGATTTACTCTATGAATAGAAGCAATTTATTTACTTCATTTTGAGAGGGAAAACTCTGCAGTCTCTTTTCCCTCAAATTCTCCCATTGACACCATTAACCTGCTTAGGTAGTAGCATTCTTCTGTTACAACTGAGAAGTAGCTTGGCTGTTAGGGACTTTTATTCCAGTCCTAGCTAGTCGCTACACATAGGGCAATATGCGAGGAGTCACCTAGCCCTTCTAGAGAGCCTTTGAATGGTGCAAAACAACATGATTCATTGTAGAACACCAGCCAGTCCATAAGACTGCGATTTATGGCGTAATATCTATAAAAAATGAAAAAAATTACTCAGAGAATGGTACTATTTGGGTATCCTAGGAGAATTTTTGTTTGCCCTAAAAATGGTGCTTTTCTTGATGGTCACTAAATGTGTGCACATATGGCTAAGTAGACTATTATGAGAAGCTGTTCTTTTCATGTCCAACATGGGTAAAATGTCCTTTTATTGCTCGTGCAACTACTGTTTTCAAAGCTTGGAATCACTGTGGCGTTTTCTTTCGGGCATATGTCGTTAGAGAATTAGAGAGCTAAAAGTTTCTTTCGGAATGTTCTGTCTTGGATCGCTGCCCTGGGTCCATGTTTTTTTTGTTTTGTTTTGTTTTGTTTTTTGTTTTGTTTTGTTTTGTTTTTTTTGCTGCTGTGGTACTTATATGACACTGTTGCATTCTGACTTGTAGTACTATATGTGGGCCAGCGCAGGCTGGGCCTTCAAAGAAGAGGAAGGGAGAAGGGACAGTGCATGCTTTCTAGCCTAAGCCAGCCTGCTTTTCTCCTGAATGTGTGTGTTTCTGTGATTTCTGATCAGCCTTCTATTTGCCTTCAGCTGCTAATATTCTGCTTGTTTTTTTGTAATCTTTATCCAAACCCATATTCTCAGTACTGGACCTTACTCTTCAATCTACTTAAACCTGTACCTCTTATCCTCTTTTCTGGAGGCAAATCGTCCCCTAGGAGATTCAGATGAACACCATATTTGGGACTACTGAATTAAAGAAAGGAGCCTTTTGCCAAAATACATGCTCTCTAAAAACTTCATGTTTAAGTTGACACTTAAACTTTTTAAATTGTCATCAAACCCAATAAAAGAAATATAGAAATATTAAGAAGCCTGTGCCTGGCCTAGGTATAAAGGACAAGGCTTGTCCATAAGGTAGAATTCTATAAAGAGTTTCTATATGTTGCCAATGAAACTAGATTGAAGGGCACGCCAACCAATTTGCGACCATTAGGAGGAATAATCAGTTTTTCTAGCATTTACTTGTTGATGTCAGTGGTGGTACCTTCCGGTCTTGCTTCCTGTGGCCCCTCACATGTATGACATCCATGACACCTCATCCTCCTGATTCTTGTCTCCAAATATTCTTTGTCTGTCTTTCATTATTTCTTTTTCCTCCAACTGTAAAATACTGATGTTTTTTATACACTGCTTTTCCACTGCACTCACTGTTCATTGTTGATCTCATTCATTCCCTCAGGCCTAGCCATCGTCAGTAGGCATGTGACTCCAGAGCTTTGTGCCTCTCTCCTATACCTCCAGTCTCTTCTTGGGCTCCAGCTTCATGTTTTATCTGCTTTCTGTATATTCCTACCTGAATTTCCAATGATTCCTCAGAAACAGCACATTTTCCTGAGACTAGACAGCTAGTTACCTTTTCCTCCAATTTCCTTATTTCTGTCGATGTTATCAAGCTTCTCCATATCACCCAGGTGCTTTTTCTTACCTTTTATTCTCTTTTGTTGCTATTTTGTTTCATCTTCCTACCTTTTACACTTACCAAGTCCTAACAGTTTTTCCCATCAAAATACCCCTTATACCTGGGTCCGACTTTTACTACCCTTATTCACAGTGGGTTAATAGTATAGCCTCTCAAACTGTTTCTCTTCATAACTCTCTGCCTGTGGTGCATCATGTTGCCCTTTGCTTCCAGGCTAAACTTGCAGTTATAGATCACTTCTTTGCATTAGACTGTCAGTGACTCTCTACTGCCAACCAAATAAAATGCAAACTCATCAACTTGATATTCTGCAATCTGCTAGCCACCACCCTTCCTCTACTTCCTCCAGTAAATGCTACTCTGTACCTGGCATAGAGGTAACCCTGAAAATATAGCAGTGAAACAGTCAGGGCTCCTGCCGTTAGGGAAATTATATTCCAGTGAGGAGCCATAGCATGATAAATATGAAGGATAATAGAGGCTGATGTGAGCAAGGGAGTAACTGAGGAGGGCCTACTACAGATGAAATGATCAGGGAAGTTCTCCCTAAGAAGTAATATGAAAGATGAGATCTGAAGAAGAGAAAAGAGCTAGCCACGGAAAGAGGGAGAGGAAACAGAAGTACAAGGATCCTGAGGCAAGAAGGAGCTTGGCATGCCTAAAAAACAGAAGGCCTTGTGATGGGTTTCCAGTGAGTGAACTAGAGAGAGGTACTGGTGCACTTATATGGCAGGGGAAAGA